CGGAAATTGTTGAAAATCCGCCCGAAAACGATAAATATAACGCTTTAAAATCGGCGCTCATTAACCGCTTCACGGATTCAGAAGAAAAACGGTTACGTCAATTATTAGCCGGAATTGAATTGAATGACAAAAAACCAACGGAGTTGTTACGAGAGATACGCCAATTATCCGGTGGATCTTTAGCGGATAATATATTACATTCACTTTGGTTTCAACGTTTGCCATACAAAGTTCAAGCGACATTAGCTGTTGTTGAGGACGTACCTTTAATCAAGCTAGCTGAACTCGCGGATAAAATAGTCGAACGTGATACCGGATATCAAATAACCGAAGTAAACACTTCTTTAAAATCAAAACAATCGGATCTTGCTGATTTAGAGAAAAGAATTGCTGCGCTGAAAGTTTTTCGTCGTCGCGGTAGATCTTTTAGTCGATCTCGAAGTAAAACAAGATTAAGATCTAATTCAAGAGATAAAAAGTCGGATTCTAAAGAACAAATTTGTTTTTATCACAAGAAATTTGGAGATAAAGCAAAGAAATGTACAATTCCTTGTACAATGTCAAAAACTCTCTGTCTTACTGATTCAACAGAAAACTAGAGATACCGTTGAAGATAGAGACAACTCACAACGGTTTACCTTGTCATCGCCTCGTTATTTTTGACAAGTCGTCTAATTTACAATTTCTTGTTGACACTGGTGCTGACATTTCTTTGCTTCCCAAGAAAATATTATACAAACTGTTATCAACCAATTTAAAACTTTTTGCTGCCAACGGAACACACATTGATACTTATGGATCTAAAACTCTTTCCGTGGATCTTGGTCTCAGGAGAATTTTCCGTTGGAAATTTTGCGTGGCGGACATACAACGTCCCATTTTAGGCGCAAATTTCCTCGGACATTTTAATCTCCTTGTAGATGTTAAAAACAAACGTCTAATTGATTCCTTAACAGGTCTTAAAAATTGTGGAAGAATACAAGAAGTTTTGCAGTTATCAGTTTGTACCACATCTCCAGATTCTTCTTTTCACAAGATTTTAGCAGAATTTCAAGGACTTACTCATTTTGCCCCTCTTTCATCGGTAAACTCACATGGAATTGAACATCGGATTGTTACGGAAGGTCCTCCGAAATTTGCAATTCCCAGAAGACTTTCTCCGGAGAAACTGAAGTATGCCAAAGAAGAATTTAAATTCATGGTGGACCAAGGTATTTGTAGACCATCATGCAGTACGTGGGCAGCACCTTTGCATATGGTTCCAAAAAAGGAAAATGTATGGAGACTTTGTGGAGATTATCGTGCGTTAAATTCGGTCACTGTTCTTGATCGATATCCATTGCCTCACATACAGGATTTCACTGCGGAGCTCTACGGTAAGAATATCTTTTCTAAAATTGATCTTGTTAAAGCGTACTATCAAGTACCCGTTGCAAAGGAAGATATTCCTAAGACCGCTGTAATTACACCTTTTGGACTTTTCGAATTTTTGGTTATGCCTTTTGGTCTTTGTAACGCAGCTCAAACATTTCAGAGGTTTATGAATATATTGTTAAATGATTTAGATTTTGCATTTTGCTATCTTGACGATATTCTCATAGCTTCTAGAGATGAGTCAGAACACATCACTCATTTGCGGATTGTTTTTGATTGTCTACAGAAAGCTGGATTGTCACTTACCATAATGTATCCAAATGTTTTTTTGGTCAAAAAGAAATTACTTTTCTCGGATATCTTGTCTCTAGTCAAGGAATCAAACCTACAGAACAAAAAGTCAAATCAATTATTGACTATCCCAAACCTAAGACAATACATGATTTAAGAAGATTTATTGGCATTATTAATTATTATCGTCGTTGCCTTAAAAACGCAGCTGAACATCAAGCATTACTTACAAACTTTTTGAAGGACAGTCGCAAGAGAGATAGGAGAACTATTCCTTGGTCTATGGAGACAGAAGCAGCTTTTTAGAATTGTAAAAAAGAACTTCTCCGTGTAACTACCCTCTCTCATCCTGCTCCTCAAGTTCCTTTGATTCTTACTTGTGATGCTTCTGATTTCGCTGTAGGAGCATCACTTGAACAGACAATTGAAAATGTCAATAAACCAATTGCATTCTTTTCTAAAAAGCTTGATAAAACTCAAAAGAACTACAGTACTTATGATAGAGAACTTTTAAGCATTTATTTAGCCATTAAATATTTCAGATATTTGCTTGAGGGACGACAACTCATTATTAAAACAGATCACAAACCTTTAATTTATGTTTTTCTTTAGAAACCTGACAAGCTTCACCTAGACAAATTAGGCAACTGGATCTTATTGCTCAATTCTCTACTAATATTGTCCACATTTCAGGCAAGTTAAATTCTGTAGCTGATGCTTTATCAAGAATTGAGTCAGTTTTAATGCCAATCATTGTCTCTCTGGAAGAATTAGCAGAATTTCAAAAGGATGATGAAGAACTTCAAGATCTCCTTTCTTTGAACTCTTCACTCCAACTAAGGAAACTTATGCTTACTGGCTCATCTGTACCTATATATTGTGACTGTTCCTCTAAGTTAATTCGTCCATACGTTTCTAAACCTCTTTGTAAGAGAGTTTTTGATGTAGTACATGGCCTCGCACATCCCAGTGGAAGATCTACAGCTAAACAACTTCTACAGAAATTTATTTGGCCGTCATTGAATAAAGACGTTAAAGAGTGGACTCGCACTTGTCTACCTTGCCAACGTTCCAAAATTTCAAGACATACAAAAAATGTCCCTGTTAAAATCGCGGTTCCTGATCAGCGTTTTCAACATGTACATTTAGATTTAATAGGCCCTCTTCCTTCTTGTCAAGATTTCCGTTATTGCTTAACAATAATAGATCGTTTCTCGAGGTGGCCTGAAGCTATTCCACTTAAAGAAATAACTGCTGAAACAGTTTCGACAGCTTTCTATTCTCATTGGGTAGCTAGATATGGATCTCCTATAACTATTACTACAGATCAAGGCCCACAATTTGAAGCATCTCTCTTTAAAGCATTAACTAATTTGATTGGATGTGATCGCAAAAGAACTTCTGCTTATCATCCAGCTACAAACGGAATTTTGGAAAGATGGCATAGGACTGTCAAGACTGCAATTATGTGTCATCAGACGAAGAATTGGTTGGAATCTTTACCTACTGTTCTTCTTGGTCTTCGTTCGTGCTTCAAAGAAGACTTGAAAACTTCACCTGCTGAATTACTCTATGGAACTACTCTTCGGATTCCTGGTGAATTCTTTATTGAGGAAGATTTTCCAGCAGATCCTGAAATATTTTTAGAGAAACATAGAATACATATGAGGAATATTAAATCTTCTCCTACCCATCATCACACCAAAAAATCACCTTTTGTACACAAAAATCTTTACGATTGTACTCACGTATGACTTCGTGAAGATGCTGTGAAGAAATCTCTTCAATCAACATATTCTGGTCCTTTTCTTGTTAACAAACGAATTTCTGATTTTTTGTTTACTATTGACATTTCAGAAAAGTTAGTCAACGTCTCAACGGAACGTCTGAAACCAGCCTTTTTTTCCCAAGGAAGATTCTTCTGTTTTTCTTTCATCCTCTTCGAGAACTTCATCTACATCTACAACCACATCAGTTGTACCATCAGTTGTGCCTGCAGTTCCTACAACCACATTAGTCATACCTGCATCTACTATTTCACCAGATTACCCTAGTACTTCTTCTACTGTTTCTTTCGGAAAATCATTACGAACTTACCCAGCTAAGAAGAAAGTCCATTTCGCAACGTAGTCGTCGCTTGGGGGGGAGTACTGTGGCGTTACTGTGACTTTACTGTAGCATTTTTAGATCTACACTTACACCACATATACACTTATGGTACACCTTATACGTTTTCACACCATTCCGTTGCTATGTTACAGACCATTTGTTTATTATTAGACTTCAATTATTATTATCACACATTTTATTGTACTTACATTAATTAATAAAAGCTCTTCAAAAAGTTATAATTTGTAAAAAAGTTACTACAGAGCGACACCAGAATACGGACGCGTCGCGCAGTTCCTGAGCAGTTAGGTAGGATCTTTCAATGGTTGACAAAGCGACCTTGGCTCTTAAGTTCTTAACAAATCGCTTGATATAAACCGTGCCGCGAATGAGTTTAATCCAACTTGAATACGAGAACGGTAATTCCCATTCGGTATCCGGTGATGAATTCACGTGATGAACGGTAGCTTTGCGCTCTTCGGCAAGTGCCGTTTTCAAAACTTTCTCCCGTGGTCGAACGTCGCCGTCGTGGATCAACTACGCGACCGACGGTTCTCGAAGCCACGGAGGACCGGACCACCAAAGTTTATGCTCGACAAGATCGCGCGCTGACATGCCTCGCGAGGCGCAATCGGAAGAGTTTTTGCTCGAGCGGACGTGATTCCAGCGAATCCCGGGAAGACGAGTTTGGACCTCCGATACTTGGCTACGTAACTACTCTATCGGGTAGGATGTTGTTGCAACCAAGCCAAAACCACGGTGCATCCTGGTCCACCGCGGAATCCGTACGTCATTTAAATCAGAGAGACCGGAGCAATACTCGTTCCACCGTCTCTGCAAATCCGAGGAAATTGGACTGTTCCAATTGAGCTTTTGTAGCCAAAGTTCCTGCATTAATATCTTGGCTGAGATAACTATCAGGGAAGCCCAACCGAGAAGATCGTAAAGTTTCGCTATGAGCGACAAAATTGATCGTTTTGTGGGCTCAGCCACCGGGCACGAGGTGATTAGGAAGCGAAATAAATCTTCATGAGGAGACCATGACAAGCCTAATACTTTTAAATTGTCGTCCTCACGAATCATATAATCCTTTGACTCGCGAAGATTCTCGGGTATGTCTTGCAAGAGTTCCGTTGAATTGGCGGTCGTCTGCTCCGAAAAGAATATCATCTATGTAAACGGAGTTTTTGCAAATCGTCCGAGCAGCGGGAAACGAATCGCCCTCATCAACCGCGAATTGTCGGAGCACTTGCATGGCCAGATAAGGAGCGGACGCTAAACCATAAGTCACCGTGAGCAACCGATAGTGCGGATCGAGCGGTAGGAAGTCGCCACAAGATTCTCTGAAAGTCAGCATTATCAGAATGAATTCGTATCTGGCGAAACATTTTAGCTACGTCGGCAGTGTAGACGTAGCAAAATTTTCGCCAGCGCAAAATTATCGACGCAATGTCTTGTTGCAGTTTGGGACCTATCATCAAATGCTCGTTCAGTGAGGTTTCATCGCGAGTCTTAGAAGAGGCATTGAATACTACCCGCAACTTGGTACTCGAGCTCGACTCGCGTAATACGAAGTGATGAGGAATATAAACCGGATTGTGTCGCGGTGATTCGGAAGGCTGTATCATCTCCATGTGTCCCATAGACTGGTATTTGGACAGAAATTCGTGATATTGCGCGGCAAGGCCCGGATTTTTATTTAAACGCCGTTTCATGTTAGCGTAAAGTAATAGAGCTCTTGGAAGAGAGTCACCTAGGTTAGAAGGAGAGCCGCCTTTAAACGGTAATCGTAGAACGTAGCGTCCGTCCAATGCACGAGTGTGAGTGTCGGCAAAATGTTGCTCACACTGTTCATCTTCTTCCAATATAATTGGGGGAGACGGGATGTTTTTATCTTCCCAGAATTTCTGAAGCAAAGCATTGATATCCTCGCACGACACACAATGGAAAACGGGGATGGATTCCGTCCGGTCGGAGCTACCAGTAGGTCCGGAGACAATCCACCCGAGCACGGTAAGCTGCGCGGTAGGGGTACCGAGAGGCCCTTGTCGAAGACCTTTCAATAATAGTGGGCCGTACAAGTCGGCGCCAATAAGGATGTGAATCGGATGACCGCTCGACGGATTGAGGTCTACCAACGGCAAATCACGCAAGTGCGGCCACGATTTTACCGGTCTTGTCTGAGAGGTGGTGTAAGCGGTGATTTTTTGGTAAACAAAGGCCGTGAACGGGAATGCCGGGCCTTCCCCGTTGCAAGAGGCGAAAGAAAGATTAACGCGAGATCGAGCAATGCCGCTAAATTTCTCCCCGAAACAATGTATTTTCCAGCCGGCGCGATGACGCTTGGTTCTCATTGTTTAGCAAAGTGACTCCGAAATGAAGCTATAAGTGGACCCTTGGTCCAATAATGCGCGTAACGTGAAAACGTGACCTTCAGGTGTAGTAATTTTAATCCAAGCGGTGGCTAAAAAAATCTAAGGAGTCGATTCTACTTGTTTTTTTGACGTTCGAACGGTTTAAACGGTAGCAGAGATCATACCCTCCGGTGAAGCGGGCGTCAGGTTCGATGCAGCGTTCGACGCCGGAGCGGAAGCCGAGGGTTCCGTTTTCTTTGCATAATTTTTGCTCTCAATATGAAGAAGCAAATGATGCGCGCGACGGCAGGTATTGCAACGACCTTTGCTCTTGCAATTCTTTAATTGATCGGACTTCAAACAATTGAAGCAGCACTTATATTGTCTTGCTGATAACCTACGCTGTTCCACCGATTGGGCTAAAAAACCATCGCACTTGGCCAAACAATGACTTTCGGAACATTTTGCGCACTTTAGGATCAAAACGTGATTAACGGAAGAGCGGCCTTTATGGTTTCGCGAATGGTTCGGCACGAAGTCGGAATGTGGCGGGTAGTCTCCGAGCCCGCGGATACAGCACGTCATGAAGTCATGAATTTTCTTGTAGGTAGAATACGCAGTCGAATTGCCTCGCGTCAAGTTCCATTCGTTACGGATATGCGTGCTGAATTTTTGAGCAATTATATAGACCAGTAGGTCGTTCCATTGGTCAACCGGACGTTTCATGGCGGTCAAGGCAGCTAGATCAGCGGACGCGATATCTCGTAGTCGTTTCAAATCGCTAGCCTGCTCCGTTTTCATTTGTGGCAGGTTCACGAACGAATGGATATGAGCTTGAATAATCGTGTTCCGATTCTCATACTCGTCGATGAGAAGCGTCCACGCGGCATCATAATTCTCATCGAAGACTTTAATGTTACTAACAAGTAACGCGGCGTCATCGGTGAGGATTGATTTTAAATAATGTAACTTTTGAGAGTTTGTCAAGGAATCATTATTTGCTAAATAGACTCAAAAATACCGCGAAAATTTTCCCACTCGGTGAAACTTCCCGAAAACTTAGAAAGCTCGATACGAGGCAATTGCATACCGGAGGACGCGTCGCGCAGAGAAGACTCGTTACCCCTTCCCGATGGAGTAGGTTCAAACTTCGAAAATTTACTGACCGCGTCGGCGAGGTAGTCCGCGGTCTTGATGTAGCTGTTCTCAGCGTTAAAGATCTCCAAGATCTCCTGCTTGACAAAGTAGGTTTCCGTCCTTTGTTTCTCTGCAATAGCCGTTTGTAGTATCCTCACATGCAGCGCTTGACATTGGTCCCACACTTCTCCAAGGCGGACTGTCTTGATGTCGTCTTCGGAAGAATTATGTTAGCCTTTGCTAACTTTTTGTAGTTGACTAGCACTCGATTTATTGAAGCGATCACGTTGCGTTGTTCAATTAATAGAAGGCGTAGGTCAGACATGGTGAGTAGCTGCCGTCGGCAGTCACTGAAGGGGGGCATGAATCGCGGCGGAGTCACAGAGATTCTTGAGGTCGACTGACGTATGCTTCCCTTCTGAACTTGAGGCCACGTCGATATAAATCGAAGGTTTCCGAATTTTTTTCCAAAAGAGAAATTAAAGTGGTGCAAAACCGAGGTTCTCTTAGCGTGGGTGTGTCAGTCACGGCACCTTCCGAAGAGATTGGTTCGTTAGCGAGTATCGTGTTCTGAGATATTCGCGGCCGATTATCTTGTCTCCCGAGAGCGCGTTTCAATGCCTTCTGCATTAGCGGCACCGGAAAAAGATCTCGATCACGTGTGTCACGTGCGACGGTCCGGCTTAACACAGCGTGCCGGTGATCAACGCGATATAGAGAGTCGGCTCGGGAGAGCGAGAGAGCGAGACTGATGTACGATAGAGTCAGTCACTGTTGCACTTTCACCAGAGATCCGGCTCGAAGGATCAATGTTTTGTTGCACGGGAAAAAATATTATAAAAAAAATTGCCTTCCGTTCAACAGCAAAATTGCTTTTTTTTTATTTATTGCCGATTTTTTGGTACAAATGTTCAACTTTCGCTCTGATCAAACTTATACAAAAGGACGAATCTCACTCGCGAAGCGCATCTCCAAGTTACTCGTAGCTCTCTCGACCCGCGTCTGTCTGTCTCGGTATCGAAGCAAGCTTAGTCGATCACGGAAGAAACAAATTCATTTCACGTGATCGATCAGCAATTGGCTTTTCCAAATTCGTGCGATATGACCGGCCAATACGTGACACGTTTTTTTACAAAAGAAAAAGAGAAATTCATATAAACACGTGTCTCCCTTGTCGCACAAGGAATTTGGCGGACTATACAATGATCACGTGAATGCGCGTGTCATCGAAAGATCGGCTTACCTGAACTTTCGACAATAATCAAATAATAAAAGTTAAATAAAATCAAGAATTATATAATCTGAAGACAATTGTACCTGGCTAAATATGTCAAAATTTGTACACTATGTAATTTATAATTTAAAAAGTTTGTCAATTATAGTCAAATAGGTATCGGACAACAGCTTTGCATCCGTATGCAAATTAAAGCTCTATTTTGTCTCTTAATAAATAACATTTCTGATGTTAGTCGCTTGGTTAACACAATTTCGTTATCCAACACTTTCACTTCATCTCATTTAAAATTATGGTCAATTCTAGTCTATGTTCGGTGATAACGGAACGATTTGCTGAACTCCATCCTATGTGATTCTTGTACTACTAAAAAAATGTCATTGGGTTGTAACGAAGCACCTTTCCCGACGCCACGGATCGGCTCGTCGGTGCCAGGATTCGGGAAGAGGGGAGACTCAGATTTGCAATGACACACGGTTGCTCTGATAAAAGTAGAGTTTATTCAGGCCACCTTTCTGTGGTTGACCCGTGATTCAAACCATCAATACACAGTATAGTATAACGGACGAAACGCGACCAAATGATACGGACGCGGACACGACTTATTACTAGAAGTTACAGATAGGAAGGTTACGGACGAAACGCGACCAGACTATACGGACGCGGACACGACTTATTGCTAGAATTGACAGATAGAAATATTACGGACGAGACGCAACCAGATCATACGGACGCAGACACGACCTATACTTAAAGTTTCCAACGCGGACACGCGTACGGGCGCCCTGAGAAGGGCGAACTCCGTCGGGCGCCGGTAACTTCTGGGTAGGACCCGGTGACCGAGAACTCTCGGCCTACTCGACGAGAACGCTCGTCGGCCGGGGTGACTTACGGACAGGACCCGGTGACCGAGAACGCTCGGCTTGCACGACGAGAACGCTCGTCGGCCGGGGTGATTTACGGACAGGACCCGGTGACCGAGAACGCTCGTCGGCCGGGGTGACTTACGGACAGGACCCGGTGACCGAGAACGCTCGGCCTGCACGACGAACGCTCGTCGGCCGGGGTGATTTACGGACAGGACCCGGTGACCGAGAACGCTCGGCCTGCACGACGAGAACGCTCGTCGGCCGGGGTGACTTACGGACAGGACCCGGTGACCGAGAACGCTCGGCCTGCACGACGAGAACGCTCGTCGGCCGGGGTGACTTACGGACAGGACCCGGTGACCGAGAACGCTCGGCCTGCACGACGAGAACGCTCGTCGGCCGGGGTGATTTACGGACAGGACCCGGTGACCGAGAACGCTCGGCCTGCACGACGAGAACGCTCGTCGGCCGGGGTGATTTGGAGTGTGGGAGTTGAGGAGTGATCCCTGAGTACGCTCGAGGGACCAGGACGGGACTGGTGCCGAAGTCTCGGCTGCGCCGCTCTTTATACCCGTCGGCCACCCCACTCTAAGACTAGCTTGGAGGGGGTCGAGTGACGGGTAGGGGCGAAAAGGCGGATTCCCAACGTGTTCATGTGGTGGCCCCGAAAGAGGCCGTTTACATGAGCGCGGGCGACTAGTGACGGCTAATCGGGTCGTCACAGGGTACTGTGTTTACAGTTTACAAGCTCATTTTCAATCCTAGCGATGGTACAATGTAAGTGTCTGAGTAAGAAATTAATATCTCTAATCTCTAGATTCAAAATTTTAAGCTCATTTTATTTGATTAAATTAATAAATTTTAAACTGACGTTATTGTTGAACAACGTCACCCTATTGCGTAAATTGTATAGATGTTTAGATAACAAATCATGTCTTTAGTTGACAAATCATGTCTTTAGTTAACAAATCATGAGTTTTAATGAGAATATTATGAACAAATCTATGGATATCTTATGGGTTTTCCGTTATCACTAATCATGGCGGATATAGTTATGGATAACCTTGAGAGCTATTGTATTAATAATTTGGACTTTATCATCCTGGTTTATTTTAGATATGTTGACGATATATTCTTGATAGCCACTAAGCCAGAAATAAAATTCATTTTAGATAGCTTCAATGGTTACCATAAATGTCTTAAATTCACACTTGAAAAAGAAAAAAATAGGACCTTAAACTTTATAGATGTGACTGTGATAAATGACAATGATACTTTAATTACAAATTGGTACAGAAAACCTATTTCTTCAGGTAGATACCTTAATTACTCGAATCATCCACATAATTATAAAATTAACACCATAACAAGTTTAGTAGATCGAGCGATTTTATTGTCAGATGCTAGATTCCACGAAGATAACATTATAATTGTGAAAGAGATCTTAACAAAAAACGGGTTTCCGAAACAACTGATAGATACGCAAATAGAATAGAATTAAGGCATTAATATTCAGAAATACGTCTGATAGTGACAATGATGGACTTGGAAGAAAGTTTGACACCAAATTTATGATGTCCTTGCCTTAAGTTAGAAATTTGAGCGAGAATCTAAACAGAGCTTTGAATAAAGTGGGCATCAATGTGGTGCACAGTATCCCGAAAAGTCTCAATTGCTTAATTACCAGAAGCAAGGACAGAGTGGACAATGGCTGTAAAACAAACGTAGTTTATGAGGTAAAATGTGATAATTGCGAAACA